TTTTTAGTAGAGACGGGGCGGAGGGGGAGGTCTCGCTCTTGCTTACGCTGGTCTCGAATTCCTGACCTTGAGCGATCCACCCGCCTCGGCCTCCCAGAGTGCTAGGATTACAGGCATGAGCCACCGAGCCCGGCCTTTTATTTATTTATTTAGCCTGATGTGCCCAATACTGTGCATCTAGTATAGGTATTTTAAGGTTGCAATCTCCAGAAGGACCAGAAAGTTAAGCAAGATACTAAGTTTCAAAAGATCCTTGTTATAGTTATAGAACAGAAAACTCTAGATCTATAGCTTCTAGAAAATATTTAACCTCTATTCCTTTTCTGACAACCCTCAGATTATTTTGCAAGTGGGCACCGATCTTCCTAAGGGCATTCCTGGGAAGGAAGAGGAGGTGTTTCCTCAATTTGAGAATTGGTGAATATGAGATGTACACGTTGAACTGATTCTGGTCTTATTACCAGTTAGTAAGAATAGTTTATTCATTTGTTCAGTAAATACCTATTGAGCACCGTCTATGTTTCTGACACCATGCCATATGTTAGAAATACAAAGTTGTGTATATAATAATATAGCCACTGCCTCAATACAAATGATGGAGGCCAACTAATAGAAAAATATTAAACATGCAGTGAAGTATTATAGGTGCTAAGGTCAATTATCTGCCAAGGGCAGAGGCGATTCTAGGGGGAAATAATCAGTTTTTCTGGGAGAGATGTACGACAGTTAGGAAGTGATTCATTTCCTGAACCTTGCAAGTGGTTTTCAGGTATGCTGAGGTATTAGGTGGCAGGAGAAAAGGCGTAGAGGGGAGGTACAATCTGGCTTGCTCAGATAAGGGCAGGTAGTTTCAGATGGTAAGGTAAGAGATGAGGCTGGAGAGGTGAAGAGGGGCTGGGCCACGGGGGCCTAGTCTGCTATGCTAAGGACCCTTGACTTGCACAGTTGGCATTTGGGGATACTTGCCAGGTATGTGCAGAGGAAAGACATGGTCATAGGGACATCAATGGGGAGACAAAATAGTGAAAGCAAAAGTTCCAATGCTGTCTGTTGCTTCAGCCCCAGACTCTGCGTCTCCATGAAAGAGAAGCTATTAGAGGAAGGCCCAGAGGGAGCATGGAGGCTCAGAGGTAGGGCTCTCAGACCGTTTTCCTGCAAACATTGGCCAGAAAGATTAGAAATTCCCAGACTCAGTTAAGTGCTTTCGAGCTCCTGGTGACTAACAATCAAAACACCTAAAATGGGCCAGTGGGGAGATTCTGGACCAGAGGAAGCAGCCCTTATGTTCTCTAAGTACAGTGCTGAGCATGGCTCCCTATGTCACTGGCACTTAGTATGCTGCTTTAAAAAAACAACAACTTATATAATGGTGATGATAAAAGATGACATTAAAATTTTTTAAATAAGAGATTCTACCAGCTTCTAAAATGATATTTGCCCACATGGTGAAAGAGAATTTTTGGTGCCTTTAATAATTCACTGCATTACTCAGAGTTTTCAGAAATGAAATGGAGTGGAAATAGACTCTGATATCTATAGACTCGGTTTTACAGTTCCATATTTGTATGTAATACAGTGTTGATAGATAGATGGTCCTTAGATATCTTATTCTTCAAGAAATGGTGGTAGTAGCAGTAGTAGCAGCGGCCACTGTTGTCATTGTTAATAACCAACACTTATCAAGTGCTTACTGTACAGCAGGCACAGATACTTTCCTTATCTGTAATCCTCAAAACAGTCTTATGATGTAGCAACTATTATTAGCTTAATTTTATAGATGGCAACACTTAACTTCAGAGAGTTAGGTAATGTGCCCAGGGTCAGCAGCCCATGCATACTTGACTGGAAGTATTTATTATGGCCATATAATCACGGGCTCCAACAGAAGGGAGATTGATTTTGACCTAGATTGGAATGCTGGGGTACAAGGAGAACTATTTTTAGTAGAAATCTTTATTTGTAAGGTTTCCATTTCTGTGCTCTATGTGTGTGCATAGTTACCATCCTTTTTTCCCCAAAGGACATTTGAAGGCTTTGCTTTGAAGAGTCTTGGAGGATAAATTTAGTGCCTACTCTTCTTGTAATAAAATTCCTATATGAGTCCCATGGTCTAGAGACTGAGTGCTCTGCTACTTGACATATTGTGTTGGGTTTGATAATCCCTAAGCTCCCCACTAGAAGTAAAATGTTATGATCTTATGCTATCTTAGGAAGATTGGTGGTGTTCTGCGTAATGCTCTTTTGGATTGATTCTGAGAAAATGTTATGAGTGCCAGTACCTGGTGTGCTAGTTCATGGGCTATGACTTTGGTGACCCACAGTTTGTCAGAAGCAGAAGACGTCTTGGGATCAAATAGCAGTGATGTTTCTCTATACGTAATAAGGCCCCAATTTTCCATGGCTCCAGACCCAAAATCAGGAATAGCAATTAGGTCTAAGAAATAAGAACAAACATACTTAATTATTATGGCTTCCACATCAGAAGTAAGGATTGCTCCCTGCTCAAATATGTTATTTCAATACACATAAGCAGAACTTCCGAAAACATCAAGAGTATCTTAACATTGACATGGTATATTGTAGTTGCAATGAAAATATTCAATACCCATTATTAAGTGCAATAAGTTCTACCACTATAGTTTTGTAGCTGAAGCAACATATTAACATTTAACTATTTTTCCCTGAAAGCGCTGAACTCTGAAAGTATTTTGGGTGCATTACTGCCAAGAAAATAATTTATTTAAAAATACTCATATTGTATTTTATATCAATAATGTTGAAAAACTTTAAAAATAAAAGGATTCAAATAATTAATGTTTGAGATTCACCAAAACATACAATGAACTCATTTCTAGAAAAAAGAGAAAGATACAGGATTTTAATTTCAGGAGAACACCTTTTGGGAGCATAGTCAATATTTCAATTGATATTTCAAGCATATACAGCCTCTATTATGAGCAAGTGTCCTTCTAAGGTATTAGAGGAAAAAACTCTGGGCATTGATTCTTTCTGACCTCAATTTCCTTTTCAACATTGATATTTCCTCTACCTCTTAGAACGTCTTGAGGTGGGGAAGTGCGATATAATCACCTTTAAGCAGCTCAGGTAAAATGTACATTAACTTACACTATATGTGTGTGTATATATACATATACATGTATATGTGTGTGTTTCCTTTGCCATTCTTTGCCAATGACTTTATGTAGGTTAGAAAATTCCTGCCTAGCCATTTTGGAAGTTCTGTTTAGCTAAAAAGGAAGATACTTTTTTTAAAGTTCAAAATGAACCAAGTCACTTGGCTTGTAATTACATTGTCTGGAGTTAATACTGGTTAATTTTAGTGGATAAAAAAGAGTATTTATAACACAATCAAAAACTAAATTAGCACTAGTAAAGATAGTATTCGTTAGCACTTCAAATGTGGGAATGACTCCTTTTCTAAATTGCATTGATGATTTTACAGCAGTTGGATTATTTCCCATAGCCATTAGAGGTTCTTATATTTGCTACATTTTTTCTTAAGCTCCATGCTTCTTCTCAGTCAGTTTTAAAAGGTGTTATATATGATCCTCAAGGTTGCATTTTTCAGGAACAACATGAGATTGTTGATGGCTGTTACTGATTTTTCCTTGACTTTTGACCTAGCGGATAGCAGTGGATGATGAGTAAACTGAATTTAGTATATCTGTTCTAAAGGGCACGTGGAACTTGCACTCTAACAATATATTGAGACTCAGGAAGTACAGAAATAAGCCACTGGATATGTCTTTTGATGATCCCTTTTAACTTCTCCAAGGAAAATTCATGGGAGTTGGGGGGAGAGAGGAGGAAGAACATGATGAGGAGTATATCTTAACATCTCAAAGGAAAAAAATATTTTGTCACCATCAGAAACTCTAAGAGCAAATCTATGTAAACTATGCAATTTAAGTCATGGTTTTTATATGCTCTGAAGCATTCTAAAAATCATATCTTTTATTTTTTTAAGATACAAAATCAAAACCAAGATAGACTGTATCATCTCGTATAAAGATCTACTACCACGTCCAAATGATCTATTTCTTCCAAATTTTTTTTTTAATTTCAGAATATTATGGAGGTACAAATGCTTTGGTTACACAAATTGCCTTTTCCTCACCCAAGTCAGAGCTACAAGTGTGCCCATCCCCCAGACTGCAAGCACGACACCGTTAGGTGTGAGTTTACTCATCTCCTTCTCCCGGCTTCCCACCTGCCCGGCACTTGATGAATGTTACTTCCATATGTGCACAAATTAGTACCAATTTGATGGGGAAAACATGTGGTGCTTGTTTTAATCTGTGCCACAGTCTTATCTTCCAATCTGAATGGCCAATATACATGACATACGGAGGGACAGTTTTTAATTCTTTGTTTACATAAACTTTTGGCAATTTTTACAAAAGATTGCTGGTCTTGTACAAATATGGTATAGAGATTGCTCCAGAAAATTCATCTAATTCTAATATGCAATGCACATATATGTATATAATTTTTTATCTCAGCATATTATGGGGGTATAAATGTTTAGGTTATGTATATTGCCTTTGCCCCACCTGAGTCAGAGCATCAAGCATGTCCATTCCCCAGATGGTGTGCATCACATCCATTAGGTATGAATATACCCTTCCCCACATATATATTTACATATGTATATTATGGAGAACTCATTCTCTGAACAGTGCTGGTGGGGCACAGAAGAGAAGCATTGTGTTTCACTCCCATAGAAAGGGAGCATGATGGGTGGGAGCCTTGCTACCTGCCACAGGGGGTCATGGCATTACGGGGGTGAACAAATATTTAAAGAACATCCCTATGATGAGCTCCTGGGCATGTGGCCCCCTGATTTCAGGGACAAATACAGAGCAGCCATTGCTTTTCTCCTCTCGTTCTCCCAGTCTATCTCTAGGGCCCACTACCTGGCTTCTGTCCCAGTGTCCCAGTGTGTTTCCTTTCTGATCAGCCTTGGGAAGAGCACAATGCAGATATTTTAACATTGAATCTGATAGAAGAATAGAAAAATGATCAACACTACTGAGCTTCTCATAAATATTTTCTACACTCAAGGACTATCTCTGAGAAACAGATTATTCCTTCCTGGGCTAACTGAATATCTTCAATGCTCATTTAAATTAACTATAAAGAGGTAAGAAATCAAAACAAGTTCTATAAGCAAAAATAAAGACAATGATGTGGAATTTGAACGTACCCAGTTTGGAGAGTGGATAGTTGATATCAAAGTACTTTTCATAAAAATCAAGTAGCTTCAGTGTTGCCTGCAAAGCATAATGTGTTTGACTCCATTTGTCTGGGGATGCATAGATGGACACCTAGGAAATGTGGATCAGAAGAAGGGGTCTTTGAATGACAGCTCCTTGACATAAGTCCATTCTTGATAACCCTCACACATAGAAAGGCAGACTGCATTTTTTAAGAAAGTACTGAGATACCATTAAGCATGTTGTCAATAAAGGATAAGAGGTTCCAAAAGTCAATCTTGACAATTACAAACAACTCTGCGTCTTCTGTTATAATCCACTCCCTAGACACTCATCTGTAACTTTCAAGCTATATTAACCCATCATATCATGAGGATCCACTTGAGTTCATCTTTATGGTATACTCTAGCAGCTGAGAACTAGCTTTCCAAAATGATGAGCACAAGCACAATTCGAATAAAACATAGGTGTGTAGACCTATGTGGGAAAGCCCTGAAGAATTTATTGGATCCACCCTCTATCGAGTTTGCTTTAAACTACAAAAGGCTCAAATATGTATAATGACTCCCTCCAAGTAACCAGTTATTAAGGAGAAAAAACAGAATTAGATTCCAATTTTCTTGGCTTCCAAGCATAGGACTACTTTCAATTTCATGACCCATTTTCATGCTCTGAATAAACTGAAGTTCCTCAAAACTTTCATGTAGAGAATATGTAAATGGTCACCATTTTTTTGACAGTTTACCAGACACTGTGCTAAATGCTTACATATAAACTCTAATTTAATACTTATACTCACCCTGTGAAGAAGATGTATTATCTTCATTTTATAGATGAAGCAACAAAAACACATGGAGATTAAGTAAAGTGCTCCAAATCTCCCAGGTAGAAAGTTGCAGAGCTGGGATGTGAATCCAAGGAGGCTGACAGGAATCTGTCATCTGAAGTAAAGTGCCACCACCTCCCACACATCTGTCTATGTCTATGCAC